GGAGACGATACTTCCTCAGCAGCAAAATACATGCAACTACTCAAACGATGTAATGAGCATCTGGTTGTTTCTTAAAGGTAGCAGATGTGCAGACTGACAGTTTGATTAAAAAAAGAAAGCCAGTTCCTCCGCTGCACTGAAAAAAAACACGGAGCATTCATGACAATACATGTTCTCGTTTAAGATGAAGAGTCCACTATCATTGGCTATGTGTCGTTGTGCTTTTGGTCCACAGACAGCAGCAGGCTCGGACAGTGTTGTTTACACTGCAGCAGTCCCAGTCAGCAGCGGGAGCAAAGCGCACTGCGCAGCCAAAAACACAGCGGAGCGCATCTCACAAACCGGCTCCATAAACCTGATCCAGCATCAACAGAGTACGATGATTACCCTTAAAAATAAAAGAAGCACGACCTGTGAACATAAAATACAAAACACCACGGCTGTGCAGCATATTCTACTATTTACGACCGAGCTCCGTTGTTCACATCAACAGTATGCCGACTGTGTAATACTGACCTCTGGTGAACTAAACAAATAATACACCACCTCTCTCTCATACATTTTTAATCTCTCGAAACAAAATATGACATATTGTAACAATATAGATCCCATTTGTAAGGAAAGTGCTACCTGTAACCATGTTAGTTCATACAGTTACACATTTAGCAATAATGATTAATTTCTTGTTTTTATTATCTTTGAACTTTTTTTTGTATTCTTTTTTTAATATTGCATTGACTACTGTGGTTTGCCCCAGGGGCATGTTAGAAAAAGGATTACAAAAACAAACTTTTGATCATATTTCCAAAATATGTAGCAAATATGGACAAAAATAGTTGTCACTTCCGGTGACCATCTTAGTTTCGCTCAAAGTGTACAACTTCTGAGACAGGTAGAAATATGTAAATGTACTTACTTGTGAAACCCAGTGAAAGAGATTCTAAACGATGCCGACATATCTGTTAAGCCCGAGAGACCCCGGTACCGGGGCCCTCCCTCAACATCTTGCAGGAAACAGTGTCTGAGGGCATCTTAACATTTAATAAACTATGAATGTTTTATATCCATATAACGGGAAGAAACTCATCTAACTGATCATTTAAAAATAAAAAATGTTTAAAAAGCCCCACAATGCTAACGCTGAGCCTTTGAATTAACAACGAGCGAAAAATGCTAACAGATTACTGCACCGAAACTCACTCATGAAACCTTATTATTTATCCTTTCTGCACATCCAATCAATGGGTACAGACATTATCACTCTATGTTTAGAACTTGTGTGAGATGCCTGGAGCAAACCTCGTGCAGGACCTCTGTCATGCTTAAACATTAACAGCTTCCTTCTGATTGACAAACTTATAAAACCTTCTTTTTACTTTCTACTCTGTCTTCATAAACTTAAAAACACAATTCTGGTGAATTGTTTGCGTTTTCAGTTTCCTATCTACTTTAAACAACCCCCAACTGAGAGTAACTGTTATATGATAAATACTACTCCCAAATAACATTAATAATATATATTTATTCCTTACAGTGAGTTCATTATTTCATGTCTAACAAATTCTCCTCTGTCTATGTCTAATCTAGGTGGAAAAATCCACTATTATATTTAATTTGAATAAAGCCTTAACTTTAATGTACTTCATATACTCAGTAAACCTCTTGTTACTCTCCCCTAAGGTTACTGTATGTAATATAATTTTTTCCTTGAAATATAATTAAGCAACATTTTTAGTTATATGACAAATACCATGAAATTCACAATACAGTGCAACGGTAGCAATCAGTTCTCAAAACATCTCATCAAAACCACAATGTGACGTCTGGCTCCTACAAAAACTATGCTAAAGACAACAAATTATAGTTTCTTATTTATTTCAATATATCTACTACATCAAATCACACATTGATCTATTAATTTTCAATGTATTCATTTCAACTTCAGATCACTCATTGATCGTCTACTCCTTATTTAAACCCACTCCTTTTTCTTCAGGCATTAGAGAAGAGAGCAAGCAGACACACTCCGGGCTGCTGCTCTCACAATTAGAGCAGCATCGAGAGAAAGGGGGGGACGCTCTCACAGACAAATAGTAGGCTTGTTTGAGACAAGCGAGACCTGCGCAGACCTGCGCAATTTCGATCAACGTCTTGCCAGGGTTCCCACGCTTGCCTTGACATTTTTTTCCATGCTACCTCCTGATTTTCCAGGTACCATATTAAGTGATGATCTATAGGCCCCTGAAGCTTTCCGCCCCCATCCGCGCCCCCCTCCCCTCACACACNGTAATACTATAGTTCATTAACGGCCCGTCCACACTACAGCCTCAAAAAAAGCTTGCCGGCGGGCGTGTCTGAAGCTCGACCAACAACCAATCACATGAATCTCCATTCATGTGATTGGTTGTTGGTCGAGCTTCAGACACGCCCGCCGGCAAGCTTTTTTTGAGGCTGTAGTGTGGACGGGCCGTTAATGAACTATAGTATTACTATAGTATGCTGTAAGAGTTGTATAGTGTCCATAGTAAGTTTGTAGTGTTCTGTAGTATTTTTCACCTGCTATCGTATTACTATAGTTTTTTCTGTAGTGCCATTTTATTAGCTATAGTAGCCCTATAATATTTCAATAGTAATCTAGATCTTTGTAGTATTCCTATATTATTTTAAATAGTATAACTATAGTATAATATATAGTGTTTCATAGTTGTTTTTTTTCACACACTATAGACCACTCCCATAGCAATATCATGATATTGTCATAGTGAATGCATATTATTACTATAGTGTTTGTAAAAGCATTACACTCCTAGAATTAATGTGTCATTTTTTTAATATCAAATTAATTGATAGTTCAGGCATTTATCAAACCTGGCAACTCTGGGCTTCCTGGCAGCTCTCAATGAAAGTCCAGTGGCTCCGCCCCAAAGTGTGAGAAACTTTTCACGCGCGCGCAGACAGACTCCGCGAGTGGGGCTGACACTCCCGCGAGCAAGCAAGAGGGCTGTCTGCGCGCGAGGGTCATTTCATGCGCGTGTAAAAGCACATTTTCCGCTCGTGAATAGCTTGTTTTGCGCGCTAGAATATTGACCCAAATCTGACTCCATAAAATTACTCTGAATGCTGCGACGCAGCACCTGAGATTACTTCCAAAAAGTTGTTCACGTTCTAAATTTTTTACGTTTAACGTTATATTCGTTCGGTACACTTCGGTACACACGTGTAGCGAACAGAAGGGCCCGTACCGAATAATTTCGGTACACCCCTAGTTTACACCAAAAAGATCTGGAACTAGAACTTTTTTTTTGCTAACCTTTTTCACCCCTTTTTCANCGTTATCCTACCTTTCAGAAGAACATTCTGGGAACCAAACAAAAACTTCCCGCTGAAAACTTTCCTAGAACAATGACTGTAACATTCTCAGAACGTTTTTAGAACCAAAAATCTCTAGCTGGGTGGTCTATTTTCAAGATCTTTTTAGTGACGAAAGTTTTGCATCCTTTTTGCCAGGGGTTTTCAAAGTGTGGGAAGGTGAGCCTCCCCTTAGAGAACATAAGAACAGCTGCGCCCCCCCTCCCAATTATTATTGCTATTATTATTATAA